CCCTGTTCATCAAACACTCAGGCAACTTACTATTGTTTTGTCCACCTTAGCATGTGGCTGCTTATGGCCCAAATGGCTACTCTGGCACCACCCATCACATTTATATTCCAGCTCCAGGAAGAAGGAAATGGCAGAAGAACACAGCTTTTTCCCTTCATAAGAAAATTCCCTAGAAGTTGTATATATCACATTAGCCAGAATTTGGGCACATGACCATACCTAGCTGCAAGAGGGATTGGGAGATTTAGCTTTCATTCTGTGTGGCTGTGTGCCTGGCTAACATTTGGAGAAAGGAGGAGCATGATTGACACAGGGAGATGACTAGCAGGTCTGTGCCTCACTAAAATGGCTGAAACACAGTGAGCAAGTGCCAAGGTCATGGGAGATGGGGCCACGGTAGGTAGTAAGGCCAGATCTTGAAGGGCCTTGTAAGTCATGGTGAAGTTTTTAAGCTTCATCTATAGAGCAGTGGGAGGTCAATACGTCGTTTTAAGTGAAGAGAAGCATAATCAGATTTTTGTTTTCCAAAAGATCAATTTGGCTGCTCTGTGGAAGACATTAGGAGTTTCTTGCAGTAGTCAGGATGAGAGAGATGGTGGTGTCAGCGGAGGTGGAGAGAAGGGGACAGAGTTGAGAGAGACTCCATCAGATAAGGGGTGATGCTGGGACAACTTCCATGTTTCTGCCAGTTGAGTGTAGGTGGAGGCTCATGTCATTTACTGAGGGAGGGAATGAAGGAGGAACAACAGGTTTGAACAATGAAGATCTGAGTTCTGCATGTTGAGACGGGGTGTCTGTGAGATAAGCAAATGGAGATGTTGAAGAAGCTCTTGAGTATCTGAGATGGACCTGTAAATTTGGGAGTTTCTACAAAGGGGTAGGAGCTAACCCCATGGCAATGTTTGAGAAAATCTGTGGAGAAAGTTTAGCGTCCTACTCCAAGAAGGCCCAGAGAGCATTTTACTTGGAATGTGGGGATGGAGCAGCTAACAACAGAATAGTGTCTCTCAAAGATGTTTTTTTGAGATAGAACCTCAAGCTATTGCCCTGGGTAGAGTGCTGTGGCGTCACAGCTCACAGCAACCCCCAACTCCTGAGCTTAAGTGATTCTCTTGCCTCAGTCTCCCATGTAGCTGGGACTACAGGTGGCTGTCACAATGCCCAGCTGTTTTTTGGTTGTAGTTGTCATTGTTTGGCAGGCCCAGGTCAGATTCGAACCCACCAGCTCTGGTGTGTGTGGCTGGTGCCTTAGCTGCTTGAGCTACAGGCACTGAGCCTCTCAAAGATGTTTAAAGGAAAATTTTAGAAAATCACATCACCTCTTTCTGACGTTGGTAAAGGATCTTTTTCTCTACAGGCAACCCCTCTCCCCTCAGTCCTACAGAGTGTCTGTTCTCTTAGGAGATGCCTAATCTACATCCTACAGTAGTTACTATATCCTTTAGCTGGCCGTTTTCACATGAAATTCTTTTTTATTCTCTCTTAAGTTTTAATTTGTTTCAATTGTACATTCTGTACTTTTTGCACCCTTATCCGGTTATGTCTTCAGGATGACTTCCTAGAGGGAAGTTGCTGGGTCAAAGGATATATACTTTTTGTTTGTTTGTTTGTTTGTAGTTTTTGGTGGAGACTGGGTTTGAACCCACCACCTCTGGCATATGGGGCTGGCGCCCTACTCTTTTGAGCCACAGGTGCCACCCTGTTTTTTTGACTTTTGATACCGTCAGCATTTATACGAGTTTGCTCTCATCAGCCGTGTGAGTGTGGTATGTTTCTTGTGGACATTTTCCGGAAGCTTTTCTGACCTCAGTTTTCTATATGCATTGCCTTTCTCCCACAGGATTTTGTGTTCAATGAAAAATTGCAACATACAGAGATGTTGAAATCATTGTACGGTGAATATCTAGATTCCACAGTTAACATTTTGCAATAGTTGCTTTATGAAATATCTATGTATCTATCAGTGCATCTTACTTTTTTGGATGCATTTCAATAAGTTACAAAATTGTAAGTCTCACCCCTAAATTTGTGTCTGCTTTTTGATTCTCACAGAAAGTGTGGGCATAGTAGCCCAGGCAGTGAACTTTGACTTCAGGATCCTGACAACTGGGATCTCGAGGCAGGTAGGGTAGGGAACCTTAGGCCTCAAGGTCACATGTGTCCCTCCAGATCCCCAAGCGCGGCCCCTTGACTAAATCCGCCTTTCACAGAATAAATCCTTTGTTTATTTGTTTGTTTAGCAGGCCCGGGCTGGCTTTGAACCCACCAGCCCCAGTGCATGTGGCCAGTGCCCTAACCATTGAGCTATAGGTGCCCAGCCCAGAACAAATCCTTTTAATAAAGGCTGTATTCAAGGATCCATAAGGCCACAGGCTCCCCATCTCTGAATAGGGGCAGCCATAGCCCTTAAAGGGAGTGTGTGGCCTATCCTGGACCCTGGAAGGACTGAGGACACAGACATAAGGGAAGGGGTGCTCGTCCTCAGCGCCGAGGGCTTCCCCACTGGGTACTCCCTCTGTGGGGTATACCTTATTATCTGTCTGTCCTGCCTCCGTGTGGAGAAGAGCCACGTGGCAATTTAAGGGAGACTCTGAAGGGTGACAGCATCTTGATGAGGAGGGCAAATCAAGCAGATCGTAGGCCTTTTGGAAGATGTGTTTTGAATCGAACTACAGCCCAGTCAGAGCTTTACACATGTACAAAAGTAGAACCAAAAAGCATTTTATTTAGGCTTAATTTGTGATAATTGCAAATTCATGGCACAAGGCTCTGAAACCAATTCAGGAGGGTTTCCCAGTATGTGCCCCCAGAATTGAGTAGGAGAAGGAGCCTTTCTTGCACCGGAGAAACCACTGCAGCTGGGCGAGCAGGACCTGGCACACTGTCGCCCTGTGCCCCGCCGGGGGCTCCAGAGAATGTGTGTTCAGGACCTCCTATTGTTGCTGCTGGGACATCTTCTTTCACCACCTCGTGCTTTCTCAGAAAGCAGCTGGGCACAGTCCAGCAATGCAGTGCAGAGAGTGGCAGTGATTATTTGAGAAGCCACATACTTCATTTCAGACCAGATAGCTATTATCAGCCTAGATAATTTCTGTGAGTCCTGAAATAGACTTGGCCCACCAGGACGGGGAGGGTGTCTGCTTATGGTCCAGCAACGAGGGCAGGACGGCTGCTTCTGGACTACGTTTGCATTCCCATCTGGGCTGCAACCCTGAGAATACCTTTTTTATTTAGCAGTCAGGAAGGACTAATTGAAGTACTTTCAGGCCTTCCTTCTGAGTTCTCTTTGGAAGACTATTGTTCAGTAGATGATGTGTGCGTGGCCCTGTCTCCTGAGTTATCAAATGGGGACAATAGCACCAAGCTCACAGCAGAGTGTGAGGAGTATGGATCTTGTCCCCCACCCCATATCACTCTCCATCAATCCAGCCAATGTGAAAAGAGGCTGAAAGGTAGAGGGGTGGTACCTCACATCACTGTAGCGACCCATTGCTCCCCTTCTTCACAGCCAAGTCCACATCCCAGGAAGGAGGCTCTGCTCACCAGCCAGAGAAAGGAGGCAGTGTTGTTGTGGTTTTTTTTTGAGACAGAGCCTCAAGCTTTTGCCCTGGGTAGAGTGCTGTGGCATCACAGCTCACAGCAGCCTCCAACTCCTGGGCTTAAGCGATTCTCTTGCCTCAGCCTCCCAAGTAGCTGGGACTACAGGTGCCTGCCACAATGCCTGGTTATTTTTTGGTTGTAGTTGTCATTGTTGTTTGGCAGGCCCAGGCTGGATTTGAACCCACCAGCTCTGGTGTATGTGGTTGGCACCTTAGCTGCTTAAGCTGCAGGTGCCAAGCCAGGAGGCAATGTTTTTTTAAAGCTCAGTGATTTACTTGTTCATTTAATAAATACTTTTTGAGTGGCCAGGTGTGGTGGCTCATGCTTGTAATCTTAGTACTCTGGAAGGCCAAGATGGATGGATGGCTTGAGTTCAGGAGTTCAAGACTAGTCTAAACAAGAGCAGAACCCTGTCTGTACTAAAAATAGGAAAACTAGCCAGGCATTGTGGCAGTGCATGTAGTTCCAGTTATTTGAGAGACTGAGGCAAGAAGATTGCTCAAACCCAGGAGTTTGAGGTTGCTGTGAGCTATGATGCCATGGCTCTTTACTCGGGATGACAGAATAAGACTCAAAGTAAAAAAATACCAAATATATACTTTTTGAGCATCTTGTATATACCAGGCATTGTAGCTGGGTGCTGACACAGAGATGAGTAACCCTTAGAGAGGTCACGTTCAGTTGACAAAGACAGATGTGTATGTTGGTGATTCTCCATGTGGTAAATGTAACAGTAAAAATAGGTAGCGAAATTATCAGGGGACAAGAAGAGTGCCTCCTCAGCTTGGGATGTGTTTGTTATGGGGTGCAGTTGGAACAGAAGAGAAATTTGAGGAAAGGATAAGGCTTGAAGAAAGACATGAAACTGAGAAACACTGTGATATGTTTGGAGACCTGTAAGCAAGTCGGTGTTGCTGGAGTGGGGAGGCTTGGAAGGGGTAGATTAAGAAAGGCCTTACGCTGGGCGGCCCCTGTGGCTCAAGGAATAGGACGTCGGTGGCCTCGATTACCTCGTTCATTACATCTTAATCTGTATTATTCTTAAGTTTGTTTTGCTTTCCCTAATAAAGGGAAGCTCTTGCAAGGTAAAAACTGTATCATACATGTTTTGAGGTTGCAATTTTAGGTATTTAATGTTGTTTATGCATAGTATTATGGGGACTTTTAGCGATTTATTCCATTTATCTCTGATTTTCTTCCAGGAGAGGAAGGAGAAATTAAACACAGATGTCAAATGGAAGGTCTGCTCTATCCCGAGTCATCTATTCATGACTTATGAATCTAAAAGGGAATTAAAAAATCAAATACATATCAAAATATCCAAAAGAAATTTAAGGGATTGGGATTTTTAGAAGAATAGTCTAGTTCTTTTAACATATAGTTCTAGAAAGCCATCTCTGATGGGCTATAGTCACTTGATCGTTCAGAATTTCCCCCTGGAGGCAGAATCAGTCACTGTCTCTGAGTGGTTCATGTTTGCAATTCCTTCGACAGGTCCGGAACTTGGCACCCGGTGTGAACTGTCGCCTGTCAATGCCTCCCATCCTGTCCAGGCCTTGATGGAGAGCTTCACGGTCTTGTCAGGCTGCGCCAGCAGAGGCACGACTGGGCTGCCACAGGAGGTGCATGTCCTGAACCTCCGCACCGGGGACCCGGGGCCCGGCCAGCCGCAGAGAGAGGTAGGTGCAGGTGTCCGCTTTCAACTCACGATTTTCTGAACATAGAGGTATTTTCTTGTTTTCTGGGGCTCAACAAGGATGCTTGTCTAAGAACACGAGAGAACAGGATTTAAAATAAGGGACTGCTCTCTGAGTGGGTTCAGGCTTCTCTCTCTGAAGGTTGCTGGGCTCTCCCCCTTCCTGGCCTTGCATATTGGGAAGAATGTCTATCAGAATTTCATCTTGTCAGTGTGACTGTAAGCAAACAGAATAAGGTGCCATTCCCCTGTAACTGTGACGTGTCTTTCCCTTTTCCTCCTGTGCCCCTCCTTCTTGGTTGTTTGTCTTTTTTTTTTTTTTTTGAGACAGAGCCTCAAGCTGTCCCCCTGGGTAGAGTGCCATGGCATTACAGCTCACAGCAACCTCCAGCTCCTGGGCTGTAGCAAGTCTCCTGCCTCTGCCTCCCAAGTAGCTGGGACCACAGGCGCCCGCCACAACGCCCGGCTGTTTTTTGGTTGCAGCCGTCATTGTTGTTTGGTGGATCTGGGCTGGGGATTCGAACCCGCCACCTTAGGTGTACGTGGCTGGCACCTTAGCCGGTTGAGCTATAGGCGCCGAGCCTTGCTTGTTTGTCTTGTGAACCTACCGTTCCTGCAGGAAGAATCAGGGGAAATGGGAGCCCCCCAGAATAAAGAGGGCAGTGCTATGTACTCACCTTGGAAGGCCCTGCAGGTAGCACCTCATCACTATCCAGGCAGCTTCAGAGATGACAGCGGTCTTGGTGGTGACAATGATGATGATGATACTCTAAGGTCACCGTTCCCCAGTACTCTGTGCTCAGCACTGTTTGAACTACTCGTAAACCAACCGCGTGAAATCCTATAATTAGCCTCACTGTACAGTACAGGCGCAGAGACAACTCATTTGCTCAAGTCATCACCTTCAGAGAGAAATGGCCTGGACCGTGGATAAGTGGTCATCATTCAGGAGAGTAGATTTCCCCACAAGATAGCACATAGTTACCATTCTTCCAAGCTTCTGTGCCTCAGAAGTGTTATTACTCAGGTATTATCTCTCCAGAGAGAGACAGAAACCACAGTAAAGACTGACCACAGCGAAGTATAGAAAAGCGAATGCAGAATGGAATTTATCTTTGAGCTTTCTCCTGGTCAGGCAAGTTAATTTCCAGAACCCCTTTGTATGCCTGCGTGAGTTTGTGTGCCTCAGCCACCCCGTCTTTTTGGGGTAGTAGGAATAGGAGAGGCGCGAGGCATTCAGAAGGAAAAGCAGCTCGATTTTAATCTCGTGAAAGTGTGCAGAGTTGGCTCATTTCGTTCGCAGATCATCTAACCTTTCTAGCTACACTGGAAATTATTGTTAATGCTCTTGGTTGCCTGCCATTGTTACGGCAACTCATATTTCAGGTCAGATTTCTTTATCCCAGTAATGCGTCTTTAATTCTTAACTTATGGGGGAGAGTCTGTGGTGGGAGGGAGAGCAGGGGAGGAGGAAATGCAGTTCCTAGGAAGCGCTGCTGACTCCAGCAATTCTTCAGCAGCAATAATTACTCATTTTATATGTGCTTTTCTCAGAGGAACCGAGGGGGGAAAGAGAGTCGGAGCTATTACAGAAGCAGCAACAGCAGAAAATTCTTGATGTTAAATTGTGCGGTACTGTTGTTGACTCTGCAAATAGATTAGAATAAGACTACTGAAGCAAAAGAAAAATCCCTCAAGGAACGACAGCAGAACTCTCCCGCATGTGTATTTACTGCTTTAGATCAAAATGGAATTCAGATTAGGACACGACAGTACTGAGGACACATAAAATTCACTGGCATTGGCTCGGCGCCTATAGCTCAACCGGCTAAGGCGCCAGCCACGTACACCTAAGGTGGCGGGTTCGAATCCCCAGCCCGGACCCGCCAAACAATGACGGCTGCAACCAAAAAATAGCCGGGCGTTGTGGCGGGCGCCTGTGGTCCCAGCTACTTGGGAGGCGGAGGCAGGAGACTCGCTTGAGCCCAGGAGTTGGAGGTTGCTGTGAGCTGTGATGCCACAGCACTCTACCCAGGGGGACAGCTTGAGGCTCTGTCTCAAAAAAAAAAAAATTTACTGGCATCAGAGATCTAGTGCACGTGTCTTCAGGAAGAGAAGAACGAGGGCCTTCTGAGGGTAGTTTCAAACTTGTTTAAAAGCCTGAACAGTCGGAACATTATTCTTTTCTGGTATTTGTATAATACACACATGTGTATGATGTCAGGCTGGTGATTTGAAGACATTTCTGAGAATAGGCAACTATTGTGCCATTTCCTTCTTTGGTAACATTGAAGAATCAGATAGCTGTCGTTTAATCCTGTTTGAAAACAAGATGTGGGGGTAACCGATCTTTGGGGATTCCAGCTGGCTCTGGCTTGCTCTCATATGGCAGGCCCAGGGGGCATTTTAGAGATACAGAGCTAGCCTGGAGGGAGACATCAAAACATTAGGGCCAGGATAATGAGAGGATTAACAAGAGTTGGTTTGTGGATGGTAAGATGTGCAAGAAGTATTAAGTGTCGCTCACTCTTTTCATAGATGACTGTGGAGATACGTTACTGAAGTCGTGTAGTTTTTAAAAATCATTTGAACCGTATGACCTAGCCATAACACTGCTAGGTATATATCTGAGGGAAACAAAAGCATTATGTCCACGCAAAAACTGAGTTTTCATGGCTGCATTTTTCATAATAGTCAAAAAATGTTGAAACAACTCAAATGTTCATCATCTGATGAATGGGCAGATAAAATGTGGTATGTCCATACAATGGAATGTTACTTGCTGATAAAAAGGAATGGCATACTGATACGTGCCACAGTGGGGACGAATCTTGACAATATTATGCCAGGTGAAAGGAGACAGACACAAAGGCCACATCTTGTATGATTTCATCTACGTGAAATATCCAGAATACACAGATTGGTAGAGACAGAAAGTAGATTAGTGGTTGCTTAGGGCAAAGGGTCAGGGGGGCAAGAAAATGGAGGTTGACTAATTGTTATGTGGGGTTTTTTGGAGGGGGGTAATGACAAAAATGTTCTAAAATTGAATTGTGGTAATGGTTGCACCATCCTGTGAAAATACTAAAAACTGTTGAGATGTAATTTAAGTGGGTGAATTTCATGGTACATAAATTGTATCTCCATAAGCCATTTTTTAAAAAAATCATTCAACCTGCTGACATTCTAATTAGCCTATATAGTTTGCCTTGGCTCAATTCACCTTTTTAAACCAAGAATGCATCCTCCTCCAACTTAAATTCACCCAACATGTGTTGTTATTCTCAATGGATACCTTTATTTCTGTAGATATGCCATGATATGGTCTATGCTAAGAATAACAGCTAATCTGTTTGAGGGTCATAGTGGAAGGGCCAAAGGCAAGCTTTGTGCAGTCTCTACCAAATATTGAAGGCAAATATTTTGAAAAATGAAACGATAAGAGCTGTTATATGTTAGCAGAAGAATTACTGTGCTGGCCGTAAGCTGTGATTGACTGTGAGTATGGGGACCCCCGTACCTGTTTTTCATGATGTCATCCTTAAATGTGAGAGAATCACTAAATCAACTCCGTTTCCCCTTGAATTGTTACTGGTTCAGAATCAGCATCAAGATCTATTATAAATCATCCCTTCTCTAACATTTTACTAAGCTTCCACCTCCCAGGGGCCTTAAGGTTCTTCAGCTGAGAAGAGGTGGCTTATTTTTATATGTAGAAGAGGTGACAGTCTACACCTGGAAGCAATAAGCACAGCAGGTTGATAAGATTGGGGGAAACAGTTATGCTTAAGTTGGATAAACAATTTTGTAGGTCAGTGCAGACTTTATATCAGAAACATACTTGGTGCAATAGCGGTGTATAAAAAGCCTGCTGGACCAAAGCCCTGCTTCGCCATTGGCTTCCCTCCTAGAGCCTCATCAGATGGGAGGGGACTTATTTTTGTGTTTCTCCTCTGAGTACACACCTCTCCTTTGTAATCCTTGGTTGTGGAAACAACAGACGTAGAAGCTAGAAGCGAAGAGGAAACTAGAAAAAGACTCCGTGGCAACAGAGGAGAGTAAACAGCCTTTGGGGGTCAGATTTATTTCTGAATAAAGGGGGGCTGCTGTCATTGTTTTCACTTCTGTCAAAGCAGCTCCTAGTGACCTTTGACTCTGAAGTAAAACGCACCCATCCCCTCCTGTTCCACTGCAGAGTCTGATGCCTCAGGGGGTTTCCTGATTCCTGAGAAGAGTTACAGCACCACAGCCAGAGTGTTTACAGTTACATACTTTCATTAGTTGCCGGAATGGCAACAATTTTGTTTCCTGTCATCTAATTTTTACTTGTGACCTGCTTTTATGTGGTGGGGTGTCTTTTCTGTTTCCGACTTGCCTAATTGCTTGCTTATTATGAAAAGCTACTGAGGATAAGCCCCTAGATAGTTGTTACATATGCATATAAAAGATAATGGGTGTTTAAATTCATGTACTTGTTTTGACAGTAAAGGATGGACTGTTATGGGCGTGCTGGTGCCTGGCTGTAGGGGTGGGGCCGGGTGAGGTTTGGGAGGCTCCATTGTCATGGGAGAGGGGCCGGAAAGCTCAAAACCCTCCATACTTTTATGTATTTGTTTCTCTGCTTCACTCCAAAAGAGGATTCGAGGATGGGCGTCCAGCCCCCGACGTACCAACAGTGTAAGCAGAAATACAAAATGAGGACCAAAGGAAAAGGAAGAGTGTAGTTTGTTGGCTGTATGAGTTAACGTGGTTGAAATGATTGCATTTGAAATTTGGCCCCAAGCTTTTTGGCAGACACAGCCAAATGGGATGTGTGGTTAATCACACACGTGGCTTCACATCACTTTTACTTTGTACTTTCTCTGACGACTGTGGCATAACATCGTCCATTTGTTGGTTCCTTTTGAGGGCAGGAAAGGCCGTGGTTGGGAGAAGGAGAGGGAAGGAAACATGTCTGAACTTGTCACTGTTCTGCTTGCCCCT